ATTGGCAGGTCGGGTTAGGCCCGTCAATGTTGGGGAATTGGTTGGCCCAACCGGACCGCCAACCCTAACCCGTCGGGTTAAGCCGCGGGTTGGGCCGGGTTAACCTTCTTTTCTGATTTATTTTATTTTATTTTGTTTTGTTTTATTTTGTTTAAGTTTAAATTTTAATTAACTTTTTAAATGAATAATTAATAATTTATAATAAATAAATGTAATTGTTTTAGTTAAGTGTTAATTTCTTTTCAAATATCAATAATAAATTAAATAAATTTTTTTTGTTAACATTCCAAATATTAATTCATTTTAATACATTAAAATTGTAATATAAGAATAATTAAATTTATTCATTTATAAAAAAATAAAATAAGAATTACAATAATTATTGTCTCGTTAAAAACCTCACCAAGAAAAACTCAATGGGACAAAAACTTGGTAACGAAAAAAGAGTGCATAATTGACAATTAATTTACGAGTTACAATTTACAAAACAACTAATTTTGGGGTTCACTGGACCTCCCTCATCGTATCATCTATATTATAAAATTGAAATGATTCTATTAAAATATTGTCGACAACCTCGTATTGACCTTGATGGCACGACCGTTCCTAATCTCAAAGACATTAGACTTCAATCATTTTTTGTGAATTTTAGTCCTCCTTTCATTTAAAATCTTCCACTTGCACTAAATGTTGTTCGGATGAGACGGTTGAGACATGAACAGCAACATCCAAGGCAAGTCTTGATAATACCGAAAAATCATTTCTAGCTCTCCAATAGTCTAAGAGATCAATGTTGGCTCTCTGTGTGGATCTACTGTAACATTTCAGGGGTTGCCAATATTGTTAAGCTCATTACTCTGCGACTGCATGGAAGACAGTACATTTTGTTGTTGTTGTTGTGGAGCTTCTGAAGAGGAGGTTGTGCTTTGGATTCGAGTCCTCTTCGGCCTATTCAGTGCACCCCAAGAGTAGAAGTCTTCATTTGTTTCTTCTGATGCAGCTTCCCTGATGTTTCGCCTCTTTGTGGGTTCCCATACCTGTTTTCATATTGGAAATATACTTCGAAAAGTGTATTTTTTACCTCTTCTATTTATTGGCATGTACTTCGGTTTGTGAATTTTCACAAAATTGTCAAAACCATTTTCTAAACCTGCTAATTTAATTATAGGATCAAATATTATAGCACCTAAACAATAAAGAAAATGAATGGGTTTCCAAATTTAAAAAAAAAAAATTCCATTGCCTTTATTGGTGCATTTAAAATTACATTGTCTATTTTTTATAAATAACACGGAAATTTTTATAATTGTATATATTATCAATGGACTAGTAGGATAATACACACCAGAAAGTTGTAAAGTGGTTGGTAAAAAATTTTAAGAAAGAATGAAATACTTTAACTATTTGCCAATCATTTTCTACCAAATAATGAAGACCTCTATTATTTGCTACAAAATAACTAATTATATTACATAAGGTAAACTGAATCAAGCATTAAATAAGTACTATTCCATCTAACAGGCATGTCTAATGCAAAAATTCTAGGAGACATATTGATTATACAAACGTCTTAATTCAGCATTTCTTTTATTACTACTAGTAATCCAGCTAAACATCTCTAATTCATTATATTTTCTTTAATTGTTTTCATACCACTTTCACAATTAAATTAATAACATGGCATGCACAACGTTGGTGAAAAAACTTCAAATTGTTATATAAAGGATAATTACTTTGAAAATAATCTATAGCTTTACTATAGAATTTGCATTATCTAAAGTTAAACTTATCACTTTACTAACATATCATAATCTTCTAAAACTTCAACAATTTTATTATAATTTGTTCACCACTGTGATCAAAATCCATTAACTAAATCCTAAAAAGATTTATTTAATTTACATTTATTATCAAATAAGACTAGTCACACAAATATAATCTTGTTTAGCTCTACCCACTCCAAATATCGGCAGTTAAAGCCACACTAACATGACAAGTATGTATTTTATTTTTTAATTCTAATTTCATTTTTCTAAACAATTTTATTAATCATTTCTAGTTGCATTTTTAGAATACTTTTAAATCCTAAAAAAAAATGAATTTTGAACAAATCTTTTAAAATATTTATCTTCAGCCATATTAATAGGTTGATCAGTTGCAGCAATATATAAAGCTAACTGTTCCCTATATACATCAGAATTATAACGCCAAGTAGTACCCATATTAGTTATTTGAGTTTGGTTGCTTTCTCTATTTCCAAGTTGATTAATATGTTTATTAGCATGCCTTTTTAAAGTACTAGTACCATTACCTGAATCAGCTTTATAAATATTTCCACAGTATTTGCATCTCGCTTTCTTGACTTGAACGCCGTTTTCTATCTCGTAAAACTTGTCGAAATACGCCCAAACGTCTGATGTGTGTCTGTCTTCGCTTTCGACGACAGTTGATGATCTTGCCTCAGCTTGAGATGAAGTTGGACGAGCACGACGATTACGAGGACTACTTCTAGAACCATCGGGAGCTGTTGGAATCGGGGATATATTTTGAGGTGTATCGGATTCTGAGAATGGGAAAGCGGGACTATTTGAATCTTCTCCTGCATTTATGTTAGTAAAATCAGCGGGACTAGGACTAGGATAGTAGTTTCCTTCATCATTGTAATTGATGGGAGAGAAATATCTATCTATTGTAGTTGAAAAAAAAAAATTGATGTAGAAGAAATAAAAATTAAAGAAAGAGAATTTGAATATGGAAATTGGAATTTGGAAAATTGGAAATATGAATTAAAAATTGCAAAAGCTAATAAAAATTAAAATACGAGCAAATTGATAACAAAGAGATTAAGAGAATAAATGAATAATTGAGAGATTAGAGAATATAAGAGAATTTGAGTTGTGAGAAAAATATGAGAGTTTAGAGACAATTTATAGAAAAAAATGGGAAAGAAAAATGACGAAAAAGACCCCTCCAACGACTATAAAGCGGCTATATTTCAATGGTAAAGGGGTAATTTGAAAAAACAAATTAAATTTATTTATTTATTTTTTTTTTTTCGGCCAACCCATCAGGTTGGCGGTCTCTTTTAGAAGAGACAAAACAACAACCCGCCGGGTTGGCGGGTTGCCATTTTGCAACTCGCCCCGCCCGGGGGTTGCTGTCGGGTTGGGTTCAACCCGGACCGCCATATTGGCGGTCCGAGGTTCAACCCGCTTCATTGCGGGCCGGGTTAGGGTTGACCCGCCTAACCCAACCCATTTGTTCCACCTCTAATTAGGATGGGGCTACTTGGAACCCCAAACCCATATAAGTCATTTTCTTTTGGTGGGTAAACGGTAATTTTATAAAAGAATAAAACATACATCATTAAGTCATTTTGACATCCCTAGTTTTGTGAGTTTTAATATTTGATCGAAATAAATTATCTTTGACTAATGAGATGGATGCTTTTATGTAAATAATAGAAGCTTTATTGGTTATTTATATCGCCAAAGGATATCTATGGGAACTCCACTGTTCAACACACAAAAATGTGTCTCTGGGCAAAACCTTCATCACATGATTTTAATGAGCTACCTTACAAAATCACAAATATATGCTGTAGATTTGGTGATTGGGCCCTCACCTCCACTATCATTTTAATTTATGTACTAATTGGATTCATACCAATAATGTTATAAACTTTTATTTTATTTTCACACCAATATTGACTAGGTTATCGCTTATACTTATTGGATGAGAATTATCTTAAATATAGTACCAAGCTTCAAAAGGTGAAAAAAAGAAATAGAATTTTGACTTGAGCATATGAAATTCCAATTGTTAACAGTACATAGTCAAAATATGTGATGATGAGAAGAAAGAAAAATATGGAAGGTGGGTACATGTCCATAATCCATATATATAGATAGCAACAGTTTTGGTCTTTCTGCCTTGAATTATTGCATCAAGACTACTACTCCCCATCTACTCTCTTGCCCTTTCCAAGTGTTGGAGAATGACTCGCCATCTCTTCTTGTGGGAAGAACAAACTGTGGATATTCTCTTTACTTCAATGTTAATTAGTATGAAAAACCTAGAATACCATCGAGATATTACATCATTCATACTACTAATTGACGAATTTATGCTATCTCATATTTTTTTTTCTCTTTTCTATCTATATTGAATGTGATTTGGTAGTTATTAAACTATGTGTTATATAAACATTAATTTGTGGTACCATGTTACCATACCACTGCGATATCATAAACTTTCTCAAAATAATAATGTTTTCTTCTATTATTATTTTGATTCACAAAATCATTGACTAATTATTCTATAATCTCATCTATTATTAATCGTTGTTCTTCTCTTTGGTTTTAATATACTTTATCTTTATTCTATGTAATATCTATACATATTCGTGAAATTCGAATCAAGTTTATTAAAGGGTTAGGATATATGAACCTGAATTTGTAACATAAAAACCTTACCACTGTTTTTTAAGTCGTTAATCTATTGCAATCTAATAGTAATGAAAGAGAAAATTCTTGATACCGGTTTCTTGGAGAGTTTGTTTTCTATGATTGATAGTGGTTCTAGACTATTTTTAACTATTTAAAAAAAAAAAAAAAAACTGTTTTTCTATTAGTAATAGAGTTTAAATCGTTGTGGTTGAATTTTATTGTCATTAATTCGACAAAAATCTTTCAAATGGAATCTTATGAAAATATATGTAGACTTTATTTCTTTGTCAATTTATTCAACTTAAGCATATATATAGTACCTTAATATATATATATATATTTATATATTTCATGCATGTTAATCAGTAAATACATTGGGCATATACTAATAAAGTAAAGTAATTATTGAGCATACGTAATAATAATAATCATGTTCTAATTTGTGGCAACAGGAGAGAAGAGAGAGCATCATCATACCAATATTTTAATCTTACAATCAAATATAAAATAATTCAATCCCAACCACTTACATCCATCTGTGACTTCCTCATCCTCCATGAATAATAATATAATAAAGCACCGATATTCAAGAACTTCATTTATTCTTAAATGATAACATTGGCAATAGCCAATTGAAAACTTACATATATAATTAAATACAATGAGAAGTCATAATTGAAAGGCTTTAATACACCCCCCAACAACCACAAGTAGTAGCTGGTGAGGAATCACCATATTATTGTCACCGAATAATCTCATTTAAAATATGCAAACACTAATGAAATTCTTCTAATACATGATCAAAACCTCTGGATCAGAGAAACTGAGAAGTAGTAATTAATGATTTCTATTATCTTATTATTTATTAATTAATATCTTCAAGGTTTGCCTCCACCACCAGGTTTTTTCTTTGGAGGATCATGCCTTGTGTTGGCTCCTGCATCATCATAATCCAGCACCAATGCATTTTCATCAACCAGAAGCTTCCTTGCAATATTCACTCGCCCACCATCATCCTTCACATAAAACAACATCGATCCATCGTTACTAAGAACACTACATTCTTAAACTTGTAAAACAAAAATTTATCATCTCTACTTCCTCTTGTTCTTTATTCTTCGCATGTTTGTATTTTTTTTATGCATTGATATAAATATATGTATTTGAGGAATATATAGAGATTCACACTTATGAGAGTTTAGCAGATGGTTAGGCTTGTAGTTTGGTCCCACAAGATCCTCTCATGAGCACTTTTATGGCCAAGAATAATTGTTTCTCGCTTTCAAAAGATTATAGGGTTCCAAAAAGACTTTGAGGTTTATGGATTTTCATAAAATATAGAGAGAGAGATCCTCATTTTTTTTTATATCTCTTGAAATTTGTGTGAACACATATCAAATATTAAAATTAAGAATACTTTTTAAGTTTAGGTATAATATGATAAATGTTATGGGGCTTCAGAGTACCTTGTGAAGTGAGTATTTAGGGTTCATGCCATCCTTGCCTTCAACCATGCCTGCAAGAGAGAAAAGAGTGGCCGTCACAAACTGAATTAATGTTAAATAAACTTAATTTATAGATGAATTTGATGCTTAAGCACATATTTTTTTGATTACCTGAAGATATCAAAGGAATGAGGAGGAGGAGGAAAAGTAGAAGAGATGCATTGATCTTAAGAGCCATGAGTGAGTGAATGAAGCAATGGGTAATGGGTTTACAGAAGGAGGAAGAGATTGGGAAGGAAAGGGGTGCTTTTATTCTGAAAACAAAGTGGAGGGAAATGGTGGGATGAGCCCCACCCAATAGCAACAGAATTATTATAATGAAATGCATTAGCCTAAATAAATGTCAACTGCACTATTTTTATATATTACATCAAGCAAAAAAGAAAAATAATAATAAAACAACCCCATTTTTTTATAAATTGTATGCATGTATTGTGGACAAAGTAAATAGTCTCTTGCATGGCTCACAATTGAAATGGTGGGATGAGCCCCACCCAATAGCAACAGACTTTTGGGCTTGTATGTTTTCTTTGCCATCAACTTTTTTAATTAATTTGCATTAAGTCAATCGGCTTTTCTTGATCTCTGTATATAGACTAATTAAAACAGGGAAAATATCATAGACTACCTTTTAAGGTTTTTAAATTAAATTTATTATTCTGATAAAAAATTTTATACCTTTTATTAAATTGACCCTTAAAGTTTAAAAAAGTATCACAAATAATCCTTTGTTTTATCAAATAGACCCTCCAAGTTTAAAAGCTTTGTCACATATACTCTTTTTGACTTTTTCCCTAACTTTGTTACATAGTCATTAAGTTTACAAAACAATACTTTTTTATAAGATTAAAGTTACCATTTTACCTCAACATTTTCTTATAAAATCAAAATTATTATTTTATTCATCTACCACAAACGGCAACATAACATAATTAAAGAAAATGGATATCTGTGATATAATTTTCAAACTTTAAAAGTTCATTTGATTAAAAGTGCAAAAAGTATCATTCTTAGTGATGAAGTTAGAAACCTTAAGAATAATATATGATATTAATCCAATTGAAATCCTCCACCTTTACTACCTATTTTCTCTTCTCTATAGGATATTTAAAAACTTTAGGCTCCCATTGTTTCAAACTTTAAGTGGCACATTAATTAATTACTCACCAATATGATCATTATTTGCAGTCATTAATTGTTTCAATTAAAACAATCAAAAGTTGCTTAAGATTGTATCTACTTTAGACAACAATAAAAAGTTAAGTTCTACCTTTTCATCAATAGAAAAAGCTACTTCATTAGGCTGCCTACTTGTGTCATATCTTATGAAATTTTTATTAAATTTAATTATTCACATTAAAGGTCTTAAGAAGAGAAACCTAGCTACTTCTAGTTTTGGCTAAAAAATTATTTATGGTTTAATTTGATCTAAAATACATACTTGATTTATGGTTTGATTACAAACAAATAACTCTAATAAAAATACTTATTATTAACTATAAGTTTCAAAACAAAAGAAAAAATAATAATGGTAAAAAAAAAAAAAAAAAAAAAAATTACCAGAATTAATGCCTCGGATAATCCATTCTCTGCTCTTAATTTCTTGTGCTTTATTTGTGTTCTGCTCTTGTTCTAGGAGCCTGCCATATTAATTTTAATATTACAGAAGTTTGTATTTAGTAGTTCAACCTCATTTATAGTCTTCATGCTAACGTGTACCCTTATATTTGATAAACTTGGTGTATAAGATGAACAAAATCTAGGTCCGACCATTATGTAGTGGGATGTCCAAACCTAAATCCTTCTCTGAGATTTCATTTTCCGTGGTACCAAACGCCATTTGATCCTCATATTTCGGCTTTCATCATCACTTTCTAACTCATTAGAATTAGATGGAGACAAACATAGTGAGTGGCCTGCACCTGAAATCAAATACACACCCATTTCAAAGCGTTGAATATTTTTAACTAGTGGGAGAGAGAGATCACCACTACCAAAAGCTTTTAACATACATTATTATCTTATTAATTGAACTCCCAACACTAATTTTGTTTTTAATCATTTTATTGAGACACAGCAAAGTTTGATTAATCATCTTTCAGGAGACCATTTGTAATTATAATGTTTAAGTTAAAGGGCTGGTGATTCACTAATAAAACTTGCTCAAATTCTGTTTCTAGAAAGCGTTCTAGGTTGTCGGGAAACAGCATGATGGATTTTATTAGTGCAAACAAGCTCACACATACACACAATTATGATATAAATGGACGTAATCAATGTGAAATAAATTAAATTATGAATGTGATATCAAATGAAAAGTGAAAGCTAGTTATATATTATGTGAGTTTTTAAGTTGTAAAAATATGCTTTGGGTAAAATACGCTTACATTAAACCCAAAAGCAAACTCGTGTTAGGCCTTAGTCCCAAAGCGGATAATATTTTATAAATCCAAACTTCTAAACCTTGTCTTTTTGTCTATCTTTTAGCACCAAGATTATAGTAATTATTTTTTCTTTTAGTCTATTTTTTTTTTTTTTTATCACCAAAAATTTTGTAATCCTTTTGCCTTTTAGTGTATTTTTTATCACCAAGAATGTAAGTTCGGGTTTAAAAAAATTCAAGATCGTCTGCACTTGAAAATAATTCTGTCGTAGTAACTTCACCCCACCAATACTGTAGCTAGAGCTTTGAGGGAGAAGATGAAATGTTTGGTTTAAGAAATTTCCAAGAAGGTGGAGTTAGGCTACCATTATAAATGTGATATGACTGCCACCATGTATCTATTTAGTAAAGCAGAGGAGGTGGATGGGTTCTGCCGATTTTGTTCACTCTGGAAAGTCCCTTTTTTAATTGGCTTTCAGAACCACACACGCACAATGCAATGAATTGAAAAAATTGATTGAACATTGTGGGAAAAAAATTAGAAAAGAAAACTGTAAGAATCCAAAATGAATAGCCTATTCCACTTTGAGCAGAATGAATGAATTCCTGCCGCTGATGGTGTCCAAACCACCCATCTAAAAATCAATCACAGAAATTCAATTCTCAAACATGAATATAATTTTGACATCATATATTCATAAAACATAAATACTCTTAAAGATTATTCATTAATGAAACATAACCTTGCAGATTCGTCAATAGAAATTTCAGTTCTTTTACATTAAAAGCATATATGGCAAGATTACAAATCTGATCGTATACTCACCACAAAAGACTAAAAAATGTGCTAAGGATTTTTTGGCAAATTGTGAATCCAACCAATCCGTTCTTGATCGCTTTTCATGTTCATCCAAACCTCTCGATATACTTTCTTCTTACAGAAAAGGTTAATTTACCGCATAATTAATATAGTATGTTATGAGTTCTCGTAAAATTTCCATGCATTCTTCCACTGAAGGGCCTTCAATCTTTACCAACACATTCAGTAATCAACTTATTTCTTCACGAGTTTCATCTAATTTTCCCCTCTTTTGTATCTTCTTGTGACCTTGTATCAGTTTGTGGTGTATTCGGTACATTGTATTCATTGTCATCCAAGCAATCAACTGGAGATTCACTAGACATTCTTGTTGAAAAGGTTGATGATCGGTTGCCTACTTCTGGTATCCCTTCAACACCACAACTCCTCTTAGAAGTTCCAGTATTTAACACCCCTGTGAACAATGACTCCAATTCTTCAGCGCTCACTAAAGGTTTATAACGGAATTGTTTAGCTTCTGGAAATTTCTGTTTTACAAAACGAACAAACAAGCAGTCAAAAATGTAATCAAATAACTATAACAAATTCACTCAACGAAAAAAAAAAAAAAAAAAAAAAAGCCTGTTACTTTCGTATTTATCCATCTTTTAGGCGACAATCAAGGCATCGAGTCACTATTATCCGTTCTTGTTGTCATGTTAGACCAAGCAATATATTACCTTTTCATATAATCCCATCCATTTTTAAATTGCTCGAGTAAAACGTTTTCCTAACAACTTTTCCAATGCCTTGGAAATTCGTCTCCAAGCATAAGGCCTTAACGTTGCTCCTGATCTATTTCCAGTATTTGCCTCATGGAGACACAGATCAAGAAAGTATTTTCTCTGAATTGCGTCACTCCAATTCGCTCTAATAGAAAAGTAAATAATGAAGAAAAAAAAGGGATGGTCAAGAAGTTACACACAACATTATCAGCTAATACATTCCGGTTGGATATTGAATTTTTTTCAAATGAAAATATGTTGAAAGTCAAGCCATTGATTTTGTTTATTTGATTGTTTTGTTTCCTTGTTATGTGTTCCTAGTGTATCTTGTTTTTTAGGAGTATTTTATTTCTTAATTATTCTTTTCCTTTAAGAGAAATTCCTTTCCAAAATTGTCTCATCATTGTAACCTATTTATTTCAGTCTTCTTTATTCAATAGAAAGGTAGATCACAGAAGAAATTGAGTTGATGTCCTTACATACTTTTATTCTTTATTTTCTTCACGGTATCAAAGCGGGTTTAATCCTCTCTTTGTCTCTATCATCAAGTTTTTCCTACTTGTTATCTCTGCATCAATAGATGGAGAAAGAAGGCCAAGGAAATCACGTCTCTACCGAGGAACCATCACCTTCTAAAGCAAGTCCGTTTAACAAAGAGCAAATGGAGACGCTTCAAAAATTATTGTCTCCTCTTCTGTCAGCACAGTCACAAACTGGCTCATCTTCCAATCATGTCCTTGGTTACGGAACCTTGACTCACAAAGATAATTTTTTGAGCGCCTTTATTGTGGGTAAGAAACATAAAAATCCTTGGATTGTGGACTTAGGAGCATCTGATCACATGACAGGAGATGCAACGATGTTTGATACATATAGCCCATGTCCAAATAATTTAAAGGTCTGAATAGCGGATGGTTTGCTATCAAAGGATTTGGATTTGGGGAAGACAATTGGCAATGCTGAGGAATGCTCTGGACGCTACATCCTTAAGGAGCGCCACTATCCACAAGAACAACCTCAAAAGGCAATTAGTGGTAATTCTTTTTCTGTTTCTTGTCAAAATTACGATAGTCAAATCACGCTGTGGCACTATCGCTTAGGTCATCCAAATTTTATGTATCTCAAGCACTTATTTCCATCCTTATTTAACAAAAATCCAAAATCCTTTGAGTGTGAAATCTATCAATTATCAAAACATGTTCGGTCTCATTTTCCCATTCAACCTTACAAAGCGTCTAGATTAACTTGGGTATTCCTCATGAAAGAAAAATCAGAAACGGTTCAAATATTCAAAAGTTTCAAAAATATGATTCAGACCCAATTCCAATAAAAAATACAAATCCTAAAGTCTGATAATGCTATAGATTATTTCAACTCCAGCCTAGGAGAATTTCTAGCCAAATAAGGAATAGTTCACTTAAGTTCATGTATAGATACCCCACAACAAAATGGAATAACTGAAAGAAAAAATAGACATTTACTAGAGGTGGTTAGATCGCTTATGTTCGCAACAAATGTACCAAAATGTCTCTGGGGGGAAGCAGTTCTTACAGCAGCTTACCTTATTAATAGAATACTGTCTAGTGTTCTAAAATTCAACACACATTGTCACACCCTCCTAAAATCCTTTCCAACAACTCGTCTTATTTCCACCATACCACCCAAAATTTTTAGGTGCTTTGTCTTTGTCCATGTCCATCAACAACATAGAAGTAAACTTGATAGGTCACTCAAGTGCATCTTTCTTAGATATTCCTCAAATCAAAAAGGGTATAAGTGTTACTCTCTAGTCAGACAAAAATTTTACCATTCGATGGACGTCGCTTTTTTTGAAAACTAGCATTACTACCCCAAAACTGATATTTACGGGGAGAATTCAACTCAGGAATATCAATTTTGGGACTTTGAGTCACTTATTGAGTCACCCATCACCATAGAAAATCACATTTCTCCAGAGCCTCATAATCAACTCCTACCTGTCAAAAACATTGAGTTCATTGTTAACTTGTGGGATAAGGAGCACATCCAAAAGGAAACGGAGGAAGGAGCACTTCCTCAACAAATCCATGAAGTTGAACCAAGTCTGAATTTGAGCGAAATTCCAGAAAATGACATTTCTCCAAAGCTTCCTAATCAACTCCTACCTATCAAAAACACTGAGTTCATTGTTAACTTGCGGGATAAGGAGCACATCCAAAAGGAAACAGAGGAAGGAGCACTTCCTCAACAAATCCATGAAGCTGAACCAAGTCCGAATTCGAGTGAAATTCTAGCATTACAGAGATACAGGTTCCTCAGAACATTCAGGAAGCTTTCAAGTGTCTTAAGTGGAAAACTACAATTGATGAGGAAGTTCAGGCTCTTGAAAAGAATGGTACTTGAGAAATTACTGAACTCCCGAGAGGGAAGAAACCGGTTGGGTGTAAATGGATTTTCACAGTAAAGTATAAGACAGATGGAAATGTGGACAGGTACAAAGCGAGGTTGGTCGCCAAAGGATTTACTCAATCATATGGCATTGACTATCCATAAACGTTTGCTCCCGTTGCCAAGCTCAATACCGTTCGTGTACTATTATCCTTGGTAGCAAATCTTGATTGGTTGCTTCACCAACTCGATGTAAAGAATGTCTATCTCAATGGTGACTTAGAAGAAGAAGTGTATATGGAAATTCTTGCAGGCCTAGAATCAACATTCAATGTCAACAAGGTATGTCGTCTCAAAAAAATCCTTGTATGGCTTAAAATAGTCTCCTTGTGCCTGGTTTGAAAGATTCACTAATGCAGTGAAAAGGTAAGGGTACTCTCAATGTCAGTCGAACTACACATTATTTGTGAAGCACTCCTCTGATAGGAAATTGGCTATTATCATTGTTTATGTGGACGATATCATTCTGACAGGTGATCATGAGGAGGAACTATGTAAGATTAAACAATTCCTTGTAAAGGAGTTTGAAATCAAGGATCTCGAGAACCTCAAATTTTTTCTCGGAATGGAGATTGCACGGTCAAAGGAAGGTATAGCAGTCTCACAACATAAATATGTTCTAGATTTATTGAATGAAATAGGAATGCTAGGATGCAGGCCTGTAGAAACTCCTATGGATTTAACTGTCAAACTTGTTAACAACGATGATAGTGCACCGATTGATAAAGGAAGGTATCAGCGCCTTGTAGGGAAGCTCATATATCTATCTCATACAAAGCCAGACATAGGTTTCTCAGTAAGTGTGGTAAGTCAATTCATGAACAATCCTACTGAGAATCACATGACAGCTGTCTATAGAATATTGAGGTACCTCAAAATGACACTTGGTAAGGGTCTTTTCTTTCAAAGAACGATCAAGAGGAATATTGAAATATTTTCCGATGTAGACTGGGCAGGTTTAATGATAGATCGCAGATCAACATCAGGATATTGTTCCTATGTGTGGGGAAACTTGGTGAGTTGGAAAAGCAAGAAGCAATCTGTTTGTAGCCTGTAGTAGTGCAGAAGCAAAATTTCGAGCCATGGCACAAGGAATTTGTGAAGGAATTTAGTTACAAAGATTATGGTAGAATTAAAGGTTCCCTTGCAACATCCTATGGAATTATATTGTGACAATCAAGCCACCATCAGTATAGCCAAGAATTTTGTTCATCATGATCGAACTAAGCATGTGGAGATAGATCGACATTTTATCAAAGAAAAGATTGAAGAAGGAATTTTTAAGGTTATCTACACTCCGACAACTGGTCAAACTACAGATATTCTCACAAAAGCTCTTGCTTGAGCCAACTTCGAAGACTTTGTAGAGAAACTTGGTATGATCAACATCTATGCATCCGCTTGAGGGGGAGTGTTGAAAGTCAAGCTGTTGATTGTGTTTATTTGATTGTTTTGTTTCTTTGTTATGTATTAGCTAGTGTATTTTGTTTTTTAGGAGTTTTATTATTTTAGGAGTTTTTTATTTCTTAATTATTCTTTTCCTTTTACAAGAAGATCGAATTCCTAATTGTCAAATTTTCTTAATTTATTTTTATTTTTTCCTTTAAGAGAGATTTCTTTCCGGAATTGTCTCACCATTGTAACCTATTTATTTCTGTCTTCTTTATTCAATAGAAAGGCAGATCACAGAAGAAATTGAATTGATGTTCTTTCATACTTTCATTCTTTATTTTCTTCAAAATATAATCTGTATAAATTAATTATTGTGTCATGAGTTATTATGTTATGTTTTCACAACTATCTCAAACGACTACTCATTTAGCCTCGAGAATTATTGACTAGTACTAGATAAAAAATCATTGTGAATTGTTAAGATTCAAAATCATGACAGAACAACAATAAAAACTAAAGCAAAACAAAGTAAAATCTAGCCTATCCAAAGATTAAAAGTACAGTTATGAGAGAAAAAAAAAAATCGAAAGTTGAGATATATTATCACAAGAAAACTACCGAAATACAACATTTTAAAGATAAATATTACATTAAAAAACATGTTTATTTGTCTTTTATAAATAAAATGTACCAATATAATTATATATATATATATCAACATTTTAAAGATATAGATTACATTAAAAAAACATGTTTATTTATCTTTTATAAATAAAATGTAACAATATAATTATAAATAATTTATATATAGTTTTTGTTTTAGTGATCTTAACTTATGCCCTCTCTTGATTCAATAATTCTGAAACAAGTTCAAGAATCACTGAGGTTGCTAAATCAGAATGCACTAAAATTATATATCTTATATAATTTTAATGACTATGTCACATCCATCTTATATTTCACTTTCTAGGTATAAATCCTATACAGTTACAGTTAGGGTTTAAAAATAAACAAGTAAAATTCTTATGGCAGTAGTTCCACGTTTTACAAGTTAAATGAAACCTAAAATTACAAAATAAGATTACCCCAAATCAAAATTCACATAACAAGTTAAATTCAAGATCAAGGATATTTCAACACTTTAAAACGACCTTGCGCTGTGAATTGAGCCATAAATGTAAACAAAAACCAAAGAAAAGAGTTGGGTTGTTTCAACTTTGAAGAGAACTACTTCAGCGGGATTATGTCAGTCACTTTTATACAAGATTTTAGAGATGGAAGAGATTAAAGGGAAGAAGAAAAGATTAGTTTTTGAAGTGGAAGAAAGAAAATAAGAAAGAAAAAAGCATCCAGTTTACGTAAAAAAACCCATCGCCACATGTTTTATTTTTATAATTTTATGGGCGGGCGTCCATACGAAGTGATGCTTATCCACAATAAATAGATATCTGTTCATATAATATGGATGAGAATCCACTGGTATTTTTGTGCACGTTCGTCTATTTGTGATGAACAACCGTCTATAAAATATAGAGAGACGTCCATAATTATTGGACGATCGTTCATTTACGGAAGACGTGTTTTATCTCCAACGTAACCGTGTGTAACTGAATGTCATATCCTTCTATACAAATTTGGTTTCCATAGCATTAATGGATTTTTATACCAAAAGTTTTGAGGAACATACACAGTCAATAACATACGCAAGTTTAAGGATTACTTTAAAAGGGTAGTGTTCGTAATATTTTACTTAAAATAAGGGTAGTTTCTTTTTGGACAATTGAAGGAGTTCATTTTTTTGAAGTACCCCGTGTTGTCTAATTTTTTGAAGGATTTCATGGAATTTTAATTCTACGTATCTTTAATTTCAGCACAATATATATATATATACGGCTCACTCAATCATAAAGAGGGCGAGTAAGTTTATACCCACTACACATTCTCAATAAATTATTTATTATCAAAAAATAACATTGCACAGGTAAAACCACGTGGCAAACCAAAAAATAAATCTGTGAATTATTGGAAAAATCAATTTAATATTATTTCAAACGTACTTAATTCTTTTTTCTTATATTTTGAAATCTATATTAATCCATTCCATTGTTAAAAAATATATTCATCTCCACTCTCAATATAAATCCAGGTGATGATTAAGTTCGTGGGGTCTTTCAGTTATCGCTTTTTGTCTTAAAAAAAAAGAAGAAATTCTTTAATCTTAATAGGTAGAAAAGTTAAAAAAAAAAACCTCAGTCGAATTATAAAACAATTAGGTTTTAATGTACATAGAATATTACTTTACACTGAAATGGCCTTTAAGGCTGGAAAATTAAACATGGATTAAAATTATTCTTAAAGCAACTTATTCATTTCCAAATTAATTTATACAAAATATATTGACACTAGTATAACACATCAACGACTAAACATCACTAAACCAAAAAAAGAATTCACAAAAATCCATTTAATTTCATAACATCACTTGAAAAATAACATATGAATATGATATGAGGCAAGACCACAAATACACTGCCTCATTCACACCTATAAATGTCATCACAATTCGTGACATTTCAATATACCACTCCCTCTACAAACGCAAATACAAACTATGATTACACAATCTTAACCTCAAATAAAATAAAATCCTGTACTTTGATAAAAATTAAACAAGACAAATAATAATTAATAAAACCTTTATGAATGAATGCATGTATTGGACCTTTTTGACTAACAATGATAAATATGAATGATGCAACAAAATGCAAACTGTTATGATCTCAATTTTGGGTGAAACCCATTCCCACCAACTTTGCAAAAATAAGATGTAGGAGATCAAATACAACCCGACCATGACAGACGATGCGGACTCAAGTTAAGGAAAATCAATAATCAGAACTGGGTGAAGGAAGAAGATTTTCAAAACGCCAGTGCTCTTTCAAGTGTCGCAACACTTGAACCAACTCCTCACTGTCGTTCATTCCGGCCACCTATAACCATGTGGGGAATGCACACCAATAAGGTGTTATCTCTAATAAAATTTTGGTGCTGCCCACAAGGGCCAACAAATCTACCACTGATGATGTATTAGTCTTGTATAATCAGCATGTCGCTATTAGCTGCTTCTCTTACTCTCCGACTCCAATCCTCCTTGATCAACAATAATTGTTTTTTTCAAGTTTTTTTATGGAGGAATTCACCGACTTCAGCGACACTGCCACCACCTACTTCCTCCATGACTTAAAAACAACCCGACCCCATGGTGCTGATGCAAGAGTTAGCAACAACAAGAAGAACAATGACTTCTGTTGTCTGAATATGGTGATGACCTGACAAATGCAATCCTTGACCCCAACTCAACACACCCAAATGCATGCAGGGACTTGTAAAAGGAAAAGACTATGCACAGTGGCAATAGCCTCAAACAGAAATGGCCTTACTAATGGCCAACTTGGCCCACTCAGCAGATTCTTTAATCATATGGTCATCGGAAGACAAGCATTCATTTAAAAAGTCTTTGCTTGAAAGAGACTGCTGAATCAAAGAACCTGCATTACTTCCCAGTGTATCTGCGAGATCTCCAAGAAGCCCAATAGCTGTCTTCATCACCACTTCATCCCTACAGTTGAATGATAAAAGATTATTAACCATAAAAGTATATATATACTGTATCAAAGTGTAGGATACTAAAGGTTTTTTTAGGATAACTCACATGTCTTTCTCCATGTATATGCTATCCAAGAACTGAAGGATATGAGGTGCATAAGGAATCAAGAGCTGGGTTTTTGGAGAGTTCTTAAACCCTTGGAAAATCCCAGAATATGCCTCCAATATCCCGTTTCTCAGAGAATTAGTGTACTCTGTCATATCATCATCAGCACCCGATGTGTGGGCAGACAAATCTGCTGCACTCTGGAGCATGGGCATGGCATACATTAAGTACTTCTCAAAGTTTTCTCCTATTGCCAGTGCGATATCACCAAAGCATGAAAATATGGGTGGCTTTACAGATCGGTGCAGCTGGTTGCTTGATAAATCTTTGAGAAGTTGTGTCATAATCCCATCACAATAAGGAAGAATTTTTTCCTCCAATGCTCTGCAAATATCTCCCACCACACCCACAGTAACAGCACACACTTGATACTCCTCAAAATTCTGAAGACCCATTTCCAAATATTTATAGAACTCTGGCATGTATTTTGCAAAATCAGGGCCTGTAGCATAGGCAAGGGCTCCAATGGCAAGCATGGCCTCCTCATGGACAGTTGCACTTCTGCAAGCAAAAACTCTCAGGAAAAGTCCCATTATCTGATCTGCATACTGCATGAAGACATACTTAGTTGGCTCTGCAGACCCTAGCTTCTGAATAATCACCTGTAAGCAACCACAAAGGAGTCCTTGTAACTCACTCTGTTTTTCTCTCTCATCAGATGAGAGTTTCTGCCCCTCAAGAGTCTTGTGAAGCTCCATCATGATGACAGGTACCAGTTGCAACACCATGGGTGCTGTTTCATCAGTCGAAGACCTAACCACCTCATTCAATGTTTCATATGCAGCAGTCCTTAATCGTGACTCCCCAGCATCTTCTCTGTGAGTAACAGTGAGAAGGGACTGAACAATTTCCTGGAAAAAGGGAGTCAGAGGAGATGATGGACCCACATCCTCATAACCTTGGGCAAGAAAATAGAGAGCACCACAGGCCTTCTCAGCAACATTTGGAGTGTCTTTCATACTCTGCAGCAGAACTGTGATGATCTGTTGGCAATTTGCTGGCGTAATTATGGGTGTATCTATGGTTGAACCGTGAAGGAATTCAAAAATCCTTCCAAGGGTCCAAGCAGAAGTGTCTTTCACATGGTTGTTTGGATCCTTTGTTAAAGCATTGAGCATGAAGGTTAAAGCAACATTAACAACATGTACTAACTTGTCAGGTGAAGGACCCTCCAAGATTGAACCAAAAGCATAAGTGGCTGCCTCCCTTTGCCTCCAGTCTGGTTTCGTTATGTTCTCTTCAATGAAGGGGATGACAAGGGGAACTATATCATCTCCAACTGTCCGTGCAACCAAACCCAGACAGGTACCCCCAGCCATTGCAATATTCCAAGCCCCCTCATCCTGATCCTGATCCTCCTCTTGCTTAAGGAGTGTCTCCAAAAGCATTGGGACAAGTGCAGGAAGTGCCTGCTTAATAAAGTAAAAGCAAGGAATGTCCGAGTCCCCAGTAAAATCACCCCCATACTCTTCCAAAATATCTATTTCTTCATCACAAATTGAACTCCAGAACTCAATGGCTTGAAGCGCAACAGGTTCCTCATCTTCTCTTACAGCCTTTGCCGTGATGCTATAAATATCCTGCATATAAGGTGCTAATTTCTCATAGTATGTCGATGAAATGGAGACAAGACACTCAAAAGCTGCCTGTCTTATCTTCAAATCTGTGGATTGTGTTGCCTCACAAACCACCCTCATGATATAATCACGCTCCATGTCATTGCTAAAGTTTGCCTGAGCAAAGCTCAGGGCATTGTACAAAGCTCGGGTAGCAGCAAGCCGAACATCATTGTTCCCTTCATTAGCATTCATACCTTGAACCACAGCGGTAAGTATTTTATTTACATGATCTTGATCTACAACATCAGGCGACACTTCCTCACATAAATACCCAAGTGTTTCTAAAGTGGCTTGCTTAACATGAGCAGGCAGCTGGTGAATATTTGATAAAAGTGAACCTATCAGCTCAGGCCATTGTTTCTGTGGCAACTCAATGCCTGCAATCTTGGCAATAACTTGAGATGCAGTTGACCGAGCATCAGGTACAGGAGATGTCAGGGTCTTCAACAAGCATGCCTTGATCTGAGTCTTCACATTGACATCCAATGACAGCCATCTTTGCACTAGTTCAAATTTTCTGTGTTGCTCCTTGGCATCCAAGGCATTTTTAAGTATCAAACCTGCTAATTTACGGCTATCAATAGGTTTGTCATCATTTGCTAACTCCCCAGAGAGAGACAGTAAGAAACTGGGAAGATTTTGCTCCTGAAACTGCTTCAAACTATCTTCTGCATGCTTCCGCACAGTTCCATCTATTGATTGTGCATTCAAAAGAACCTGGGTAACTTCCATTGCCATATTTTATCTGAAAGCATCAATTATCTAATCAGTCAGATGCATTGTCTTCAAAACTAACTACACTTAGAAAAAAAAAGGCACAAGCATAGACACACAATTCTCAAATCCAAAAACCAAACCAATAAAGAACTAAAAGAACATAGAATAAATATGATAAAATGACCAATTGTACAAATACCGTTAAAGGAGCAGAATTTAATAGTTTCAATGGACCAGGTTAAAAGTTATTTATCCTTTCAACACATAAAGTAATACTAAACTTATAGACAATGAATGGGAGAAAGTTGAAAACAAAATTCAGCAGAATAAATAGATAAATTAATAATCAACAACAGCATCAAGTTTGCACAACTCTAACACAAAAATCATCTATATACATATTGTTTCCACAGAAACCAAACAACATAATCTATGATTAGAAATCAAACCCTTAGTAGCAATCAAGACATAAATCAAAACACAATCTTTACAACGAATATATAAATAAACAATATCAACACAACTACACTCTCATACTATCAGAAAAATAACATAACAAAATCAGAGAACTATGTGCATCATGTTTAATCAATCAATCAATCATAATATTATTAATATGTAATTCTCGTGCCAAAATTAAATTAAAGTACAGTAAACATGAATAAATCAATCAACATAAATTAATTGGATAAAATTCTATATGAACCATAAAGCTCACTAAAATCTATAATAAATTTAAATCTCGATCCATTAAAACCCCTAAATTTATTAAATAATAATAAAAGATCAAATCAGATTGGATCCAAAAAAATCTTACAATTGGATAAAAATAATCAATAAATAAACTAATAAATTAACGAGTGAAACAGTAACTATACAGCTAAATTAGCGGAAAATTTCAGATCGAATATCGAATTCGTCCAAATTAAAAGTGATCAACAGATTGAAAATCGACCGAATGCTGATTATTGAATAGCATGACCCGGAATTCAAAAGACGAAATGATAAAATCACCTGCGAGCGTAGAACCTGATGGTGGCAATGCTGACACTGATTCAGAAGAGTGAAACGGCGCGTACTGAAACCCTAAGAGAGAGACAGAAGGAGAGAAGAAAGATAGTGAGAGACGCGGATGTGAAGCTAAGCTGTGCTTGCATAATTCTAATCTGTATATTAGTGGTTAAAATTCGAGGGAGTTATCGCATACTGATGGTCTACTTTAATTGTTTCCTACACCCGCACTTTTTACCTTAATCAGGAAGTAAGCAAAGAGCTCATTTTGATTTATTCATCATCTTAAAATCATTTTTAAATTTTAAGATACAATTTGGGAGGAACGACTTATACTTACCCAGAGTTTGCTCTAAACGCAAATTGATACCCAAAAAGTTTTGAAACGACAAATTAGAGATGGCAATGGGTATGATATTTTCAAGTACCAGGCCCGGCTCGAAAAAGTTGGGCTTTACCTGGTGTTCGCGGGCTTAAGCTTGGGCCTAGGCCTAATTTTAAGGCATGGCCTCAGGTATGGGCTGGGCTTGGGTATGTCTTCAGACTTGACCCGGCCTGACTAGTTTAGTATTAATTTTACTAAATTATTTTATACTATATATTTAATTACAAGATTATCCTACATATATATACCCATTTTTCTCAAACCCTAATCTCGTCTCATTTGATGAGTATTCAAAGACAAATAAATATTTAAAAATTATGTTTAGAATTAAAAATATAAAAAAAAATTGAAATTTATTAATATTTAAAAATTCATATTATAAAAATGGGTGAGCTTGGGCCGGGTCTGAGGTTACAAAAAACTCGTCGGGCCAAGCTTGGGCTTTACCTATCATACTCGTGATGGGCTCGGGCCGGACTTGGGCCTTTGTCATGAAGTCGGGCTTAGGCCTGGGCTAAGGGGTACCCAGTCTCGGCCCGGCCCATTGCCATCACTACGACAAATACCCACTTTCTGTTAGAGTCTGTTAGTAAAAACTGTTAATTGATATGACATTATCGATGTTCTTTCATCTTTAAGGGATAATTTTGACTTTTTATATTCTATAAAATCCCAAATTTTTTCTTATTTATTTATTATCTTTTACTCCATTTTCTCTTTCTTTCCCTCCCATCACTTCACCTTCTCCGCCTCTTCTCTCTCTTATTTTTTTTCCTTTCTCCTTCCTTTCACTTTTCTCTCTCCCTCCTCCTCCTCCCATCTTCATCTGCTTCTTCATCTCCCCCTCTTCTCGTCTTCATCTTCTTCATCTCCCCCTCTTCTCGTCTTCATCTTCTTCATCTTCCCATCCATCTAAATCGCACCTAACTAATGCGATTCCAACTAGAATCGTATCAGATTTAGTGTGATTCTACTTAGGTTGGGTGTGATTTCAGCCAAATTGCATTTGGCGGAGTGCAGTTTGGCCAAAATCGCATCCGGCAGTGTGCAGTTCGGCCGGAATCACACCACTTGCACCTCCACCAAACCCGCCACCATTTCCTCCTCCACCCCTTCCTCGAGCTCCTCCTCCCCACCATTTCCTCTCTCCCTCTCCCTTCTATTGTTTAAATGTGAAGTAAATCCTTGAAGAAACCAAATTATGTGCTTGTCTGTTGTGGAAACTCTTCACAGAATGCCTATGTTTTGCTTTTGCTTTGTTTTGTTAGGCATATTGGTGAAGGAAATGGCCAATTCTTTTGCTTGCAATTCGTGTTGTGTTTTTAGAGGGTAACCATTGCGAATTATGATGATTCTAGGTGGAATAAAGGGGGATAGCTGGACTATGGAGTTTCTTTCTTGAATCAGCTTTGATCGTAAAGGATCTTTCGTTTTTCTTTATTTTTGCTTCTTGTTTTGTTGATGACTTGGCCTGCCCCAAGGTGTTTTGCTTGAAGGGGAGTCCCCTGTTTTTGCTTGGAGAGTTAGAGTTGGAGGGGAGTCCCCTCATTTCGGCTATATATATTGTGATGATGATGTGGCTTGAAATTGCCACGGTGGAGTCAGCATCAGTCAAAGAAATCAGATTCAACTTAAACTAAGACGACATCGTTTTGGCTATCAAACTTTAGTGCCCTATCTGGCACTCGAAACCCATTATGTTGCAACAAATTCACAGCTCATCTCTCTTTCTCTCTGGTTCCATTTCAGCCCTAGCTCTTTGTTCATGATAGAAGATTCTAGTGCCCATCTTCTCCAACCGATTGCAGATCATACTGGACAGTTGGAGGATGATCAACGGAGTCCTAATCTGTATAAAATCAGACCAATATGTGTGAGAGAAAACAGAGTTGTGAGAGGGCTTAATCGGGTGTGTTCTTTCTTGTATTTCTCTGGTTGTATACTCTCTGTAATCTTGGTTTCCTTGATTAATGAAATACCTTATAGTGTGCCTTGAAGAGTGGATGTAGGCTACCTTAGCCGAACCATTATAAATCCCCTGTGTCAATTTCTATTATGTTCTTTCATGCTTTACTTAATCTCTGTAATTGATTGCATGTTTATTGATAAGATTGTGTTCGCTCATTGATTGATTTGATCAGCATAGTTGAAAACCCTAATTAGTCACTATATATATATTGATTATTTTCTATAAAATTATTGGATTACTAAAAAAAACTCTGAATTTGTATTTTATTTGAGGTGAGCAATTGAGAATTTGAGTTGAGAGGAATGATTTGAGAATTTTGAATTTAGGAAGTGACTATGTTGTACATAAGTTATTTTTTCCAAGCCACCGTGGAGGTTTTGATGGAGGTGTGGATGGTGGATGATTTGGTGGAGGTGTGGACTTAGTGTTAGATTTTCTAACTATATAGAAAATTACCATCCTATCATTTTTCAAATGGTTTTTACTAACACACTTTCACAAAAGGTGGGTATTTGCCGTTTCAAAACTTTTTTGATACCAATTTGTTTTTACAGCGAACTCTGGGTACGTGTAAGTCGTTTCCCCTAAAATTTAAATTATTAAGAGTTATAGACCCCCCAAGATTTAATATATTAACAAAGATACCCCTAATATTTTGATAATAACAAAAAATTTCATGTCGTTAGTAAACTATTAGTGAGCCATTGAAAAATAAGTTGTTGTAAGTTTATAAATATTTACTGAGTTGTCATTCGATCATTTATTTTAATGTGTAAAACTAAACAGGAGGAGAAATATGATATTTTAAAAACCTCAAGGGATTCATTAACTCTGATTTTAATATTTATCATTTTGACACTTCACTTGTTAGAAGAAATTTGATAAATTATATATAATTATTCTTATTTAAAATTACTTTTATAACTAAAATATGGCAGACATCGAAAGGTCCGTTTGGTTTGTTATTTTGGATAGGATTTTGGAAATAGTATTTGGTAGTTGAGTAGGGTGATTATTACGAGGTAAAATTTAAAAATTAACAAAAAAAACCCCTAGGTTTGCTAATTTAACTAAACACTCCAATATATAAAAATTTTATAAAATAACAAAAATACCCCCACCCACCCACAGTGCCAGATTCTGGCCACCATCGCCGGAATCTGGCGTTACGATGCAGACCAATCAGATTTGGCCGGAAAAGGCCAAATCTACAGCAAGATCTGGTCGTCGACGGCTGGAAAAGGTCAGATCTGGCCGTCAGAGTCGGCCAAAGATATGGCTGTCGTTAACCGTCAATGACGACCATTTCTTTGGTTGTCGTTGACGGCTAGATCAGTGAATTAACGGCTAGTTCCGATCATTTTTAAGCCGTTGTGACAGATTTCGGCCACCACCGATGGTGGTTGCCGGAATCTGGCAACTATGGGTAGGTGGGGTTGTTTTTGTTAATTTTTAAACTTTTTTTTTTCTGAGAGTGTTTAATTAAATTAATAAACTTAAGAGGTCTAAAAAAAATTTAATAAAATATAATCGTATTTCCTAAATAATAAAACAAACAGTTATTTTGGGAATATAATTGAGAATATGATAGGAAATAAAGAACAAAACAGACCCAAAATTGTTACTTACATTACTGCAACTTTAATATTTTTATCCATGATTATATTATATATTGTCCTAGCCAGTGGCGAAGTAAAAAAATATAAAATTTGTATCAGAAAATATCAATCTACTCCTTGTAAATCAAATTTTGGCCCAGACATTCATTAACCATTATTTTTTATCCCCAAGAAAAAAATTTCTAGCTCCACCCATGGCTCTAACCCATGAGGTATGGATGTTTAAAGTAATTTTCCTTTAAGAAAAATACAATAAACCTAACAGATTTTGTTAGCTAAGGAGGGGAGGTTTGAGGGAATTATTGAAATATGAGGGGAAGAGAACCTATAAATTGTTAGCTCCATCTAGGGGTATTCAAAAACGGTTAACCGGTTATTGTTAGCTCCACCTAGGGGTATTCAAAAGCGGTTANAAAAAAAGAGTCAGAAAAGCTGTCAAGAAAATATTTTGAAGATTGTATTGTGAAAATAAGCCACCAAACGTTATTTGTTAAATCCGGTCCAAAATATGAATAAAAATACTGAACCAAACGCAGAACATTATTGTGATAGTATTATTGCAAGAAAAGGTCCATGGCTTCCATGATTATCAATGATTTTGACATTCTCTACATGAATTTATCTGCGTTAATTTAAATTGTTTCTCAAACATGAAGCAAGCTGCTTAATTATATATGGCTAATTTGGGTGAACATAGATTACAACAATCAAATATATTATGAATTCCCAGTTTTGGTGGTTGTTTGGAGAACATTTAAAATATTGTAAGTTAAAATAAATTGGTCTGTTTATTGACAGGAAGAATTCAGTAAATGTCTCATCAATAAGGAAAAGAAAGAGGAAGCGGAAGGGGAAGAGGAAGAGGAACCACATTTTTAAGAAATTGAGAATTTTCAGATTCCTTTAAAAGAGAATCTACCTCAAGGTAAATGATTAAGATTTCCATTATGCATATCTTTGTAGTTGAATAGTTTTCTCATTCATTGTTTGTGTTTTGCCGTGTCAGTGTATATATATATACAGTAAAACCTCTCTATAGTAATACTCTATATAGGAATAAATTCTACGTAGTCATACAAAATTTAATTCCCAATTTGGGATAGTTATAAATAAGAATAAACTCTACATTGTAATAAGTTATAACTTTTTTAATTCCTGTCT